CATGCTGGTATATTTTGGAAATATTTTTTGATTCAGCACTTGCAGTTATTAACCTGCTCTTTCTCTCTGCCCTATTGCTGGCTCCGGGATGATTAAAGAGAAAGCCCAAAACCCTCCTTCACATACACACTTCTTTAAGATGAAGCTAAACCCCTAAAACCTATTTCCTTGAGAAGATGCTCTCTCTCTCTCTCTCTCTTTTTTTTTTTTTCTTTTTTGGTGAGGCAATTGGGGTAAAGTGACTTGCCGAGGGTTACACAGCTAGTAAATGTCAAGTGTCTGAGGTCGGATTTGAACTCAGGTCCTTCTGACTCCAAGGCTGGAGCTCTATCTACTGTGCCATCTAGCTGCCCAAGATGCTCTTTTTTGTTTGTTTGTTTCCTTTGTTTTGTTTTTCCAAGATGTCATGGGGCAGTGTGACCTTGGGCAAGCCACTTAACCACTTCAGTTCTCAGTTTCCTCATCTGTAAAATAAGGGCATTAGACTCTCCTTCCTTATTCAGTAGAGATCAAGGGGGAAGCAAAGCTGTCTTATGTTTAAGGCAATTTAGGTTGGCAATGTATATGTAGGGCTGGGACAAAGCATTTGTCCACTGTGGGTCATGTTTTAAAATTACACCTCGTGTGTTATCCTCTACCTGAGGCATAGAGCCTTCATTGTGACTCATGACAATACCCATGTACCACAGAAGGCAAAATTTTCTGGAATTAAAAATAGGCAGAGGTATAAAAGGTAATATTGAAAAGTGTTCCTTCTTTTGTCCCCTTGTGTGTTGTGCTCTAGGCCTACCTTGCTCATCCCTTTCCCATGTGTGAGAATATTTAAGGATAATAAAACTGGGTATTGGGATTGTCTCTCCTGTGGCCATGGCTCTGTAAAGCAAATCTAGACCTATCTTGAGAACCCAGTACAGAAAGAGATTTTTTTGGGGGAAATAAATTACTGCTTTTTCTTACATCCACATTGTCTCAGAATCTTTTCTTCTGGGGCCCTGGGATTGGATCAATTCCAGGCATTTGCATTCTGTTGGCAACAGTAGGGTTAATTTAAATCAGGATTAGGTCACTAGGCTAAGGTCATAGATGGGGAGATGAGGATATGGGGAGGAAGCAGAGGCAGCAAAAAGGAAATGAAGTCAGGAGCACAGGAGAACCACTTGACATTAGGCTGTCAAGCCAAAGTGGGGAAAACAGAACATCAGAGTCAGGAGGGGCAGAGGAAGCTTCCTGGTTCAAGCTAAGGGACCGGGGGAATAGGAAAAGACCAGAGAGGTAGCTCTCCAGCTGAGACAAGAGTGCCTGAAGGCCTTAAGCACTTGGTTTCAGAATCATCCTCCTGCTCTGATCCAGGCTTAGATTAATATTCCCTCCCCCCCTCTCCAAAGAGCCCAGCGTGGTTGCTCTAAGGTCCTGACAGAGTATGAAGAAATTGTTCTTGGATAAAAGCATATAAATTTCATCTCAAGTAACACATTCTAATTCAATCCTCAGTTTCGTTTGAAGTAAACATTTATTTATCCCCATAGAGCATAAGAACTTGGTTCTATCCCACATCTTAGGAAACCAACCTCATTTCAAGGAAATGGGAGATTATAATAGCTTCATTAATTTCTTCTTGGCTATTTAAGATCATTCTTCCTATTTCATCATCAGCATCATCATCAAAAAAAGCATTTATTTAGTGCTTATTATGTGCCAGGTACTATGCTATGTATGTAGCATACAAAGAAAGGCCAAAATGTGATCCCTGCCCTCAAGAAACTCACATTCTAATGGGGAGGTAAGGCGGCCAACATACCAATAATGATGCACATACAAGATCTATACAGTGTAAGTGGGTAGTAACCTCAGAAGCAAGGCACTAGCAGTGGCAGGGGTGGGGAGGAGAGGGGACCAGGAAAAACTTCTTGAAGAAATTAAATGACTCAGGGTCACATGACTAGTGAGTAAGCTTCTGTGGCAGGATCTGAACTCAGGTCCTGCAAATTCAAAATCCTATGACCATTCACTACAACGTGCTGTCTTATCCTTTATCAAATTGAACACTATCTCTCTAGTTTCTGGCAAGAACTGAGAACTGGTGATATTGAATTGATTCATTCATTATTCAGTGTATATTTGTTAATTCAAAGTAGAGTATTAACATCATCCTAATGTAATCTCATGTTTATTGAGAAAAAAATTAGTTTTTGTAGCATATGCTATGTCCACATTCCCAAATAGGATGGGAAGTCTGGGGTTCAAGTTCCAGCCTGCTATTTACCATTTGTGCCTGTATTAAGGCACAAAGAAAATATAAGACATGGTCCCTGTGCTTGAAGATGTGACACTCTATCTGGAGAGTGAACACATACATGCTTTAATAATATAAAACAAGAGAAGATATTTCAGGTCACAACCCCATCCCCCCCAACCCAACCCTCAATCCCTTCTCCTATAGGCTAAACTAATCCCTGGTTTCTTCAAGAAATCCCCATGTGGTATGAACTTGAAGCTCTTCACCATCTTGACTTCCCTTCCTGTGATTTACTCCAGCTTATTAATGTCCTCCTGATATTTGACATCCAAAAATGAACACACTCCTCTAGATATGATCTTAGCAGGGCAGGGCACAGTGGACCCATTATCTTTTTTGCCTTGAAACTAAGCTTCTACTGAAACCCAAAATTGCATTAGTTATTTTGACTAGTATATCACAGTGTTGATGGGTATGGAGCTTATAGTCCACTAAAATTTCCAAATCTTTTTCTTATGAACTGCTGTGCATCCATACCTTGCCTGTATGTCATATCTTGGGAAGGTGATTTTTTTTGGACTCCAGTATAACATTTATCCCTGTTAAATTTCATCTTATTTGCTTAAGTTCATTGTTCAGGATTTTTTTTGGAACCTGACCCTGCCATCCAACATGGTAGCAATCCTTTCTGGCTTGGTGTCACCTGAGAATTTGACAAGGATGACATTTATGTCTTTTCCCGAACATCAACAAAAAATGTTAAATAGCACAGATTCCTTAGGTACCCTACTAAAGATTTTTTCTAAGTTGACGTTGAACCACCCAATGACAACTTTGGGGGCACTTTGTGAAGTGCTTAACTGAAAAAAAACCCCAGCTATTTTTGTTGTTACTATTGTTTATTTTTATGAGTATGAAAAGCAAAAGGAGTATAATACTTTTGTTTTCCAATAGGCAGATAGCATAGCTGAAAAGATTATTGATTGAACATCAGGAGACCTGGGTTCTAGTCCCACTTCTGCCTTTGATTTTGGCAAATTTTGTGTGAATTTGGGCAAATCTTCCACTTTGCTTTCTTTAATTTCCTCATCTGTAAAATCACAAGGTTGGGCAAAATGATCTCTAAGATTCCTTCTAACTTTGAATAATCACATTGGCAGAGTGAGAGAGAACAGAGGAGGCCAGAGGTGTGGCAACATGATGGGGATAGGGCATGTCAAGTTGCCTTTCTATAGTCTGCATACCTGGACTAGATTCTGAAAGGAAGGGAGATTGGAGGAGTCTTTGGAATAAAGGAATGGGTAGGCTGCTGCAAATGGGAATAGGAGAGAGAAAGAGATCTGAAAGGTTTCTTTGTCTGAAGTAAAGGGCACAGAGTCAAAGAGGTGAGGAAGATAAAAGAAAAAAAGAAGGCTAATATAGGTTCTTCAAGCCAAGATGAAACAATCCAATATAGAATATAATATGAGTCATGGAAACATGAAGTTTTACACTTGGAAAGGATTTTTCAAACTCATCTTGTCTAAACCCTTACATTTTCTAGTTCTATATGCAAGTCAAACACTTGGCAAGTATTAAATTAGATGAACACATGTGAAAATTCTTCAGAAGCCATTATATGAATGTAAGGGACCATTATTATATAGATAAAAAATAAGAAGCTAGGTGAATTGCTTAAGGTCATACAACTAGTGTTAATGGCAGAGTCAGGATTAGAATTCAGGTTTCCTAACTTTTCTGGCTAGTGTTCTTTCCACCATACTAAGATGCTTCTCTCTCCATCAGGGTCTTGTTTCTGTTGGATTCTAAAGTCTTACAGGGAAGGATCAGTGGCTAAATCAAAGCAAACTTATCTATTCAATCAGATTATCACAATGCAAGCATTCACACTGGCTATTAGCCATCACTTAATAAGTCAAGAAACTGGCTTAGACAAAGTGTGCAGCAGGCTACACAGGAAGACCTGGGTTTGCATTCTGCCTCAGATATTATATACGTGGTCCTGGGCAAGTTACTGTACCTCTATGAATCTCAATTTCCTCACCCGAAAGATGGGTTTAACAATAAAACCTATCTTTCCCAGGATTGTTGGGAGGATCAAATGACACAATGTATGAAATGTGCTTTGCAAACCGTTAAAACCTTGACAAAGTAGAGGAAGAGCCTCAAAGTCACCATGAATCCTGAATCAGACTGTCATTACTACACTTCAGAATATCAATCATAAAAAAAAGAATATCAATCATTTCTTTGTCATGGAGGCTCAAAACTTTTTAGCTAACTGTGAGTTGATGTTGCCCTATGGTGGTGGTAGTGGTAGTAGTAATAGTAGTAGTAGTAGGAGTAGTAGTAGAGTAGGAGTAGTAGTAGAGTAGCAGTAGCAGCAGCAGCAGTAGTAGTAGTAGTAGTTGGAGGAGGAGGAGAGGAGGAGGAGGAGTTTGTAAGCTCCTTGAGGGAAGGGATTGTCTTTTGCCTGTTTTTGTATCCCCAACACTTAGCATAGTGCCTGACATATAATAGGAACTTAATAAATGTTTATTTAAATTAAAATGTAGTAATAAATCACCAATCCTGTGCTGTGTATCATCTTTGATTTTAGACCCTAAGTCAGCCTTAAGCTTAGATTCTAAGCTCTGCAATCCATCATTGGTCCCACATTTAAAGTCTTTCCAGCTTTTTAGAACTTGTGCCCTGATGGCATAGCCTTGGAAGAAACCCAGGTTGCTCCATTATGAAGCACTGGAAAAGGACTTTGATGAAGGAGAGATATGGACGAATGCTTCCTAAATTTGTGTGTCTTTCTTGAGCATGGGGCATGCTTATCTTCTCATTATCCTTCCAATTTTACCACAGTCCATTTGGTTGAAATGCTTGGTCAACTGATCATTCTAATAGATTTTTCCTTCTCACTCAAAGGACTGCTACATTGAGTAATTGTTGAGCAAAGGGTATTGTTGATGGGGTCAGAGAGATATGTTGGTATTCTGGCCCTCTTACTGAGTAACTGTGTAATGGTGGGCAAGCTGCTTACCTTCGCTGAGCCTCAGTTTCCTCATCTGTAAAGGGGGGGATAACTATATTTGAATTGTTCTATAGGGCTATTGAGAGGACTGAATGAGAAAACATATGCCAGAGCACTTTTTAGAGCATAATTACAAAGCACAAGTTATTACTATTGAGACCACCACAAAGGATCATAGGATGTAGAACTTAAAGGGACCTTAAAAATCATCTATTTAACACACTCATTTTACACATGAGGAAACTGAAGTCCAAGGAAATGAAATGATCTGCCCAAGACCGCAGAGGGATATAGGATTAGAGATTTAGAGCTCATAGGGACATTGAGGATCATGTAATTCAAACCCCTTATTTTGCAGATGAGAAAATTGAGGGCCAGGGAGGAGATCTGATCCATCCAAAATCACACAGACAGTAAAGATCAAAGTCTGGATTTGAACCCAAGTTTTCTTAATCTAAATCCAGAATTCTTTCCAGCATACCACACAAATAGTAAATTAAATTAAATGAGTAATATCCCTCAGAACAAAGGCTTATCACTTGGACCATAATTTGAATTAAAATGATATTGAAGGGATGAAAAAATGAAAATGGAAAAGGAAATAATGACAGTGGATCTTCCTTTCCCTCACAACATTATAATAATCCCAAATAAATTATTATCTATTCATCCAAAACAAGTAATATCACACTGGAGATGTTCATATGCCAAATTAATGCACTATTTCCAAAATCAAAGTCTTTTAATGATTCATGTGGATGTTCATGTAGACATAAAAATATTTCACTTAGGAAAGACCTTTCCAAGTTAGAGATAAAATTATTCTACAAATATGAATTCTCTTAGTTTCACAGTACCTCTCTGTGGTAAGTTGTTCTGCTTGTTCAGGTATGTAAGAAACTGAGGCAGAGGTAAGAGAGACAATTTTCCCCAATTCATGTAGAAAGTCTATCATAGAAACCAGGAAGGAAGGAAATTCCTAAGGCAGTTAGATGGTAGTGCCAGTTTTTTCTGTGTACAACAAAGTGATTTAAAGGAAAACAAAACGTTTTATAAGCAAGGTGTATTCTTTTCTGGTAAGCATTCTGTCTTGAGTTTGTCCTCTCTCTTTTTCCTCTAAGAGAACTAAGCACAATTTTGTGTACTGATTTTAGAAAGTGGCCTTTTGCTTCCCAGTATATAATTAATGTCTGAAGCAAAGGATAGCTGGATGCCTATACTGCTTTAAGTTAATAAAATAGAAAGTTCGTTGTGCCCTTAAAACTAAAGAGAGTGTTTAATCTAGAAAATGTTTTTTAAATCAAAACTATACATAATTTCCAAATTCAGTTTCTTAGTAGCTCTCCTGCATGCTAAATTTTTAAGTAGAATAGCTATTATTTCCCACTGATGAACCACAAATGGGTTGAAGATATTTGCATACCTTTTTACACAGAGTATACACCAGTAATCTAACCTCTGATTCTTCTTGCTGAATTCCATTTAATTTGTCATTAATTAGTAAATTGTTATGTGAAATACAGCAAAGCATCTTGGGTGAAATGGCTAGCACAAAGATTATTCTTCTGGAAGCTATCTAAAATTGTTACCACTGAGCAATTTCCATAAAAATAGAACGGCCTTTGGAGCTTTTCTTTTAAAATAAGAATAAAATGAACCAAACGGGAGGAACAAATAAAGGCAATAATAAATCAAAGACAAAAGACAGGAAACCAGCAAAAAAAAAAAAGTCTCTAGGAAGATACAATGTTAAGTTTCATTCCCCCCGCCCCTTCAACTTATTTTTGAGCTATAGAAGATGGAGTGGAAAAAAAAATAAGCCAACACAAGTCCAACACTCAAATCTTTCCTAAAAACATAGTTCCTGCTTTTTGAATCTTTGCAGTTGACTTACTTCACATGCCCTCTGTAACGACAACTCATCATATCTACTTGCATTTGTTCTGTCAAATGTGTTGGGCGGGGTGGCAGGGGGAAGAGTCATTGCTTTGAATGATTCTCTTTCTTTGATGCAAACAAAACGTACCCCTGATCGGCAGGGCTTTCTCGGCCTTCAAAGTTGTTTCCAGTGTTTCATTTCTCCCTACTGCCATCCCTGTGACCAAGCCCAAATGAAAGGCAAGTCTCTCCAGCCCCCCTCCCTCTCTGGCTTTCTCTCCTCCTTGGTTTCAATGGTTGATTGAACGCTATGTTAGGTTCAGTGAACTTGGTCTTGGCTTCTGCTCCATCCAGAAACAACGTCTGCTCCAAGGTCGATTTCCATATGAAAGCAGCTGGAGTGTCCCTTCGCCGGTTTTGGAATTTCCAAGCTGTTCTGGGGGCTCCCACTTTCTCTCTGCAAGAAGTTGATGCTTAGGGCTACCAAAGCCATCCCGCCCTTCGCCCCCGCCTGGCTGTGGCCCCTTCCTCAACTTCTCAATCTACTCGCTTCCCTAGCCTAGTCCTTAGTAAACAACCGCGAGCCTGCCTTGGAGAACATGTAGCCTCAGTTTCCTCTAACCCGACTGAGTATTAGTGTAAGATAGGATTTCTTTCTTTCTTTGTGGGGTGAGGGTGGGTGGAATGGAGGAGAAACAGGACAGGGGTGAATGCCAGGAGACAGAGAGGGAAATATCAACCTCCTCTAGTCTAACTAATCCAGCACCCCCAGTCTCACCACCTTAAGTGGCTGTATCCTCAGTTATTCCTCCAGGGGAACATTTGCAAGGATGGCAAATGTGGGCTGCTTGGCTAGTGCCACTTAGAGGACTTTGGGTTTCCCAGAGCAGACTCTGTGCATTTTAATCATTCCTGCTTTCAGAAAAGCCTATTGTACCTTAAAGTGCCGCGAAAAGATCCAGGAGCACTTAAGCAAGCTGCAAAACTCCACTGTTTTAGTGACCTTACTTTGTGTCCGCACTTTGGCCGGGGGACAACTGGGAAGGAACAGAAAGACTATTCTTTTTGCGCGCCGCGTCTCTCGGGCGAGCCAAAGGCCTATTTGCAGCTGTCATTTTACGACCAGTAAATAGAGTATCCTTCTTTTTGAGAGACAAGACAACACGGCCTCTCCTTCTGAAAGTCTCACAAATCTGGGGCCTCCCCCACCAGCTTCGCGGGGGGTGGTAGGGAGAGGTGCTGGCTGCAGCCCCCGCGCAGCCCCCATTAGTCTATTGGCTTGCTATGAAAGGATGTCATGGTGTCTTAATATTTCCACCTTGAGGCCTTTCCAGGCTCTCCCTGCATAGTGATGTTGGAGTGAAGTTTCGAACAATGCCTGGCTTCTTCCTTTCAGGGAGGGTGAGGAGAGAGGCGGTGGTGGTGATGGTGGTGGGGAGTTTATGGACTTCTCGTGTTGGGAGAAATACTGCATGTCGCTGTTGTTGTTTTTATTATATCCTCCTTACCGATGTCATTCCGACAGCGGGGACCCAACTGTCTGGGAAATTATAAATATGGTTGTAATTTGGCACTGTGAGGTGGTTGCAGAAACGTTTCTGGGAGTATGGGGGTGGGGTGGGGAACGACGAAGGGAACCTAGCCAATAGGCACCCTAAGCATCGTCCCCAGCAGCCAAATGGCTTTCAGCGCTCTTTTGTTGCAGCTGCATTCCCTGCGGACTCCAACCTTTCAGGCTCTGCTTCAAGGTACAATATGCTTTTCTGAAAGGAGAAATTATTAAAATGCAGTGTCTGCTTTTGCAAATCCGAACTCCTCTAAGTTGCACTGGACGGGTCCCCAAGAAACAGCCTCGACATCATTGCAAATGTGGGCTCTAAGCAAAAACACATGTGAAATCCTCTGCCTTTGAATCCGGCGGCCTTTGAGGAAAGGGAGCTCAACTGAAGAATGAGGGAGGAAAAATAGAACCGGCCCCACTGTTTGGCAGTCAAGGCGCTTGGTGCTGTCTTTTACAGGGACAAGGCACCTTATCTATTGCTTATTTATAATAAGATAATCCTCTCTGTTTTTATCTTTTGGACTTCAAGAAAGATTGCCTGGCTTGCTCAGTTATTAGGCAGAATGTATCTGTCCTTCATAATAAATTCATATATAGAGCAGTGACAACAACGAGGAGAGTGTGAGGCTTTTGACAGTGTTAATATTGATTACTGAATAGATTAAGAGACAGCCAGGAGAAGTTTTTTCAGGGATCAGATTTTCCTCAGGTGACATTGTTAACAGCATTAGACACAAACATTTATCAACCCAACAATTTTAGCTCTTGAGTAAAATGCCTGGCATCCCAGAAATGTTTTGTCACCTCTCCTCTTGCATCAAACAAATCATCAGATTTTGTCTTCACATTTGCCTGTGGCAACATTTTGTCAGGCTGGTAGGGCTGGGGGATGAGTGGATGTAGAATTTTAAAGGCAGTATTCCCCACCCCCTGCCGTGGGGTACGGTGATGTATTGTCCATGGAAAGGTGGTGATGATTAATGACGTCCAGCTTCCTAGAACCCACTCTCTCCTCCCCTCCTCCCCATTCCCTCTCCCTTCGGTACTTCTAAAAGAGGAACAGTGATCTAGTGACTAACCAAGGGTACTGGATGTCAGACTCAGTCAGCTCTAGTCGGTGTTCTGTGACTCACTAAGGGAACAGGGGCCTGGAATAGGCCTGGGAAATGTAGTCACTCATGATTTATATTTTCAGTTTCGAATACTGCTCACTGACTCCTCCCACCTCCACCCCATTCCAAGCTAGCACACAGGTCATTCCCCTCCTCACCCCTCTTTTCCATTTTAAAAAAGCCTGCTCCTCTTTCAGGAGACGTTTTCTGATTGGTACACCCAGTTTAAAAACCCCACACTGAGGTATGGGGGTTAACTACAGAAGGGAAGAAAAATGAGCAAATTCAGAAAAA